AGATGGATTCAAAGCATAGAGTTCAAATTAGAAATTTAGGGTGACAGTTCTTTTGAATTCCAAAGGGGGTAATCTTGATAGATTTTAGCAAAGGACACAGGATGATCAAAGAGGCTTATTGTGAAGAAGCTTTGAGGAAGCAGATAAATGCATTGATGAGAAAAAGGCAAGTTAAGTTGTACTGAGGAATTTTCTTTTTTCCATATCATGACAATGCACCTGTTCATTCTTCAAGGGTAACAACGGCTGTCTTATAAGAATTTTGTTGGGGAGCCTTATCCAATCCACTCTACAGCACTAATCATGCCCCTTCACACTTCTTTTTGTTCCCCAAACTCCAAGAACATTTTTAAAAGGAGCACAATTTGAGTCCCACAAGGATACCAATACTACCATTTTGATGCTGTGTAAATCAAAGATAACTTTGAGGAAGGATTAGAGTTTTAGTACCTTCAAAAGTGTATAGACCTATATGGAGGATAATTTGAGAAACAAGCATTTCACATTTTGATATTTTTGTTTAATAAAACTTTTTATGATTTGTAGAAATGATTTTTGACATATATATATTCCATGTCTCAACCAAGTCAAAAAGCAAGAGGTTCAAGAGCTTAGATCACTAGCATCCTTTACAACCTCTAACAGGGTCAGCAGACCAGAAAGTCTTAAGTTCTGTCTACTACAGAGAAAAGGAAAACAACCAGGCGCCACTCATCAACCACACCTCACACCAAATGGCCCGTCTAGAGACTTTTATTCAGGGTGAGGAAGATGACTTCTGCCAGACAGAGAAGGTAGGAGGCAGAAGAGAAGAGAGGAAGAAGAGGGAGCCAACCGGAAGGGAGTGATCTTATATAAGTTCAACAGGAAGGGTGTGGTCATTGCTAGGGTGATTTAGCTCTGGCCTATCAAAAGCCATGTTGCCCTTTAAACTATGCGCCTTGTAGCTTAGGGTGGGGAAACAGACAAAATGGAGTTGAAGGGAGGGGAGAGGGAAGAACCCGGAAGGTACAGCCTAAAATGGTGAACCTGATATTGTAACACACAATGCTGTCAGTATGGGTCGTATGTCCTACCATATAACATTCCAATATTTCTGCATGGCTTGCAAGGCATGTTCCAAACAATTTCTGCTGATTTGGTTATTAGGTTTGGCCTCATTACTCAACAGACCATGCTTTTACTCACATACCCCTCCTGGCTCTATCTGACGTACAACCTTCCTTCACTCTTCATTTCAACCAGTAAATTTACACCCATCTGTAAAGGTTCACCTCCTTCTTAAAGCCTTTCCTGACTATTAGAAGATTCACTGGTCTCCCTGTTTCTGAAAAGTAAAATGTGAACTATGGTAAGAGTCAGGATAAGGGAGGCAACATAGTGGACAATTTACAACAGTAATCCACAATTAGGAGAAATTTTTAATTTCAGTTCCAAGTCTGCAAGTAGTTATAATAAATAATTTTGACAGTTAGTTAAGTTCCAAGCACATGCCAATATTCATTTGCTCTAATCTAGTTATTTAGGAATCATATCTAGATCTTGCCATTGAGGAACTTATGGTACAATAAAAGAGATGTGTATCAAGTAACTAGAATAAAATTACAAAACATAATTCAGTACCAAGAAAGAATCATACAGAATTTCCTTAAGATATTAAATTAAGTTAAAAATAAATTCCTTTCATTGTTGTTGATAAATGCAGTCATTTGGTGCTGACTCATAGCGACCCTGTATAAGGTTTCCAAGGAGTAGCTGAGGGGTTTGAACAAGTGACCTTGGGTTAAGCAGTCCAGTGCTTATTATACAGCACCACACCAAGATACTAAATTACATTATAGAAAATAGCATTCAAGCTGGGCTTTGGAGCATGACCAAACATACTGTAAATATAAAATAATATATAGGAAAACATTAGAAAAGTAGGAAGCACCATACAAATGCTAGAAGTAGTATTTTAACTGGGGTCAAGGCAAGAGAAACTATTCTTAGCAAAGATAAGGTAAAGTAAGGATTAATTTGAATGCTTTTTTTTTAGGCCTATTGGAATCTTGGTGTGGTGCTGTAGGTTAATGCGCTGGACTGCAAGGTTGGTTTGAACCACAAGGTTGGCGGTTCAAGCTCACCAGCCACTCCTTGGAAACCCTATACAGGGTAGCTATGGGTTGGAACCAGCTTGATGACACTTAACAACAACAACAACATTGCAGTTGAGTTGATTTTGACTCATAGTGACCCTATAGAGCAGAGAAGAGCTGCCCAGTAGAGTTTACAAGGGTACATTATTTACAGAAATACATTGCCACATTTTTCTCCCTTGGAGTGGATGGTGGGTTTGAACTATTGATGAATTTGTTAGCATTCATTGGTTCTTGATCATGTAATTAACCACTGCACCACCAGAGCTACTTCAGTTCTTTAGGCACAACCTGACAAATACATTACTTCAAAAGAAGCAATGAACTCCTTTGATTGCAGTCTCCAACTAATCTCTGTTCATTTCTGCTAGCACACACACTCACAAAAAGCCTGCATTACATTGTACATGAAAACTTTGCAGGGAGCAGGGAATTCAGAAACAGCCTCAGATGCTGTTGTTAGATGCTGTCAAATTGGTTCTGACTTAGGCACAACAGAATGAAATAGTGCCCAATCCTGAGCTATCCTCATAATTGGTACATTTGAGCTGATTGTTGCTGCCACCATGTCAATCCATCTTGTTGGAGGTCTTCCTCTTTTTCACTGACCTTCCACTTTTCCAAGATTGATGTCCTTCTCCAAGGACTTATCCATCCTCTTAATATGTCCAGTATGAAAGAATTATTTCCATCATCACATCTAAGGAGCATTCTGGCTGTACTTCTTCCAAGACAGATTTGTTTGTTCGGGCAGTCTAAAGAGCTTTCAATATGTTTCACCAACACAATAACTCTAATGCATCAGTTTTTCTACTATCTTTCTAATTCACTGCCCAACACTTTAAAGATGTCTTTTGCAGCAGATTTGTCTAATGCAACACACAGTTTGATTTCTTGATTGCTGCTTCCATGAGTGTTGATTGTGGATCTAAGTAAAATGAAGTCTTTGGACACTTCAATCTATTCTCCGTTTATCATTATCATTTATTGGTCAAGTTGTGAGGATTTTTGTTTGTTTGTTGTTGTTGTTGTTTACACTGAGGTTCAATCCATACTGAAGTCTTTGATCTTTTAATAAGAATTTTTAGTCCTCTTTACTTTCAGCAAGGAAGGTTGTATCATCTGCTTATCACAAGTTTTTAATAAATCTTCTTCCAATCCTGATGTCACATTCTTTTTAATATAATCCAACTTCTTGGATTATTTGCTCAGCATACAGATTGAATAAGTATGGTGAAAGAATATAACCCTGAAGCACACCTTTCCTGATTTTAAACCATTTAGTATCCCTTTGTTCTGCTCTAATGCCTCTTGGTCTATTTACAGGTTCCTTATGAGCACAGTTAAGTGTTCTAGAATATCAATCCTTCACAGTTACCCATAGTTTTTCATGATCCACGAAGTTGATAGCCTTTACATAATCAATAAAGTGAAAGTAGACATCTTTCTGGATTTCTCTGCTTTCAGCCAAGATCCATCTGACCTAAGCAATTATATTCTTAGTTCCACACTCTCTTCTGAATCTAGCTTGAATCTTTCAGTTCTCTGTAGATGTACAGTTGCAACCATTTTTTATTTATCTTTGGCAAAATTTTACTGGCATGTGATATTAATGATATTGTTTGATAATTTGTGCATTTCGTTGGTTTGCCTTTGTTTGAAATGGTCACAGATATGGATCTCTTCCAATTGACTGGCCAAGTAGCTGTCTTCTTAATTTCTTGGCATAGATGAGTGAGTGGCTTTAGAGCTGTTTCAGTTTTTAAAAAATATTTCAGTTTATAGTCTGTCAACTCTTGGAGTTTTGTTTTTTGCCAATGACTTCAGTGCAGCTTGGACTCTTTCCTCTAGTATCATTGGTTCTTGATCATATGCTACCTACTTTTTTATATATACATCCTTTTATTTAATTTTTTTTTGTTTTCATAAATACATTTTCACATTGGTAGTGGTGATAGTATGTCATGGAGTCGGTGCATAGCAACCTTGTGTAGGGTTTCCGAGGCTGTAAATCTTTATGGGTGCAGAAAGCCTCATCTTTCTCCCTCAGAGCAGCTGATAGTTTTGAACTGCTGAACTTGAGGTTAGCAGCCCAACTAGTAACCACTACACTACCAGAGCTCCTTTGTTTTCTCATTAGAGATGCCCAAAATAAGAAAATAACAGTCTGTTACTTTTCAGTTTTATATTTGTGGACAGATTATTTAAGGGCATTTGAAGGATACGTCTCAGTTTGGAATCTATATTTTAATATATCTACAAGGAATGGAACTTCTCTATATTCAAACATTCTCCAAGCTTTCACTCCTAGAATTCAGAAATGAGTGAGTGAGATGTTAGCATTTCCTCATTTTAAAGTTTGACTCGGCCATGTAACTATCAACAGAAGAGCATAAAAAAAAAAAACAGAGGGGGATGTTTCCAAAACTTAAGACAGCCAAAATTTTCTGCAAAATCTTTATTTATGAGTTAATAGACTTTCCCATTGTCCATCATTCCTAAACCAAATATCGAAGAGGTATTATTATAATATGCTGATATTAGCTAATTGAATCCCCATTTAGAGACTGATAAATTAAAAGATATCTCATATTCAATATTTTGTCACACTGTGAGTCTTCTGAAAAGCTAGGAGACAATTCCATTATCTCACCAGAATATAGAAAGCAGTCTCACTATTCTGTGAATATTAATTCCTCTCAAACCTTTTTCTCCAAGACTGAATTCTAAAAAGAATCAAGTGATTAGAAGAGGGTTGTCTCACCAATGGACATCTGTTATTTCCTCTTTATTGATAATTGAATGGGGTGACAGCAAAGGCAAAGAGTTGTACAATCATTTTTTAAGAAACTAAGTCATAAGTCAGAGCTTCCACAGCACCACAATAGCTTTACAGAGTCCTACATTTTGATAGGTGAAATAACACAGACCAGTAAAGGTTAAAGCCAAGAGTGCTAAGAAGCCAGCCGTGGCAACTTTCTGTGGTGCATCTTCATGGATATAGTCAGTAACAACCTGTCCCATGTCCCAGTGACAATGGAGAATGAGAGCTGCAACTAAAGAGTAGTCCATCACAGAGCAAGGATTCAAATAAGCAGCTGGAAGCAGGCCCAGGAGCAAAACACTGACAACCCTCTCACCAGTACAGTGGAGAGATGCAGCCTTGGAACTAGAACAGTGTCTGGAGAACAGGTAAATGTGCTGTACTCCTCGAGTAGACTGGTCCTGGAGAAATGCTGAGACAAGAGCAGGTCTGATCACTAGAGTTCAGAGGAACAGAGCTCGGGCTCCTTGAGCACCGCAGACCACAATCAGCCTCCAGACCACCGCCATGTCTTTCCTTCCATATATTACCTCTTGAAATTGTTGATCACTCACCGTTTCTTTTTGGTGCAGTGACTTTGTGCATTCCTTCCATTTTCTTTTGATGCTTTCTGCATCATTCAATATTTTCCCCAGGTTGTTGTTGCTAAGTGCCGTTGAGTCGGTTCCAACCCACAGCGACTCTGTATAAGGTTTCCGTGAGCTGGAACCACCACAGAAGCCTTTAATGTTGAAAGTTGAGGCTTGAATTTTTTCTTCTGTTCTTTCAACTTGAGAAATGCTACACGTGTTCTTCCTTTTTAGCTTTTAACTCCAAGTCTTTGTACATTTCATTATAATACTTGACTTTGTCTTTTTGAGCTGTCCTATGAAATTTCTTTTTCAGGTTTTTTACTTCCTCATTTTTGTCATTTGCTTAACTTCTCTACTCTCAAAACAGGCTTCAGAGTCTCTTCTGCCATGCAATTTAGTTTTTTCTTTCTTCCCGCCATCCCCCTATTTTTTGCTTTCTTCTTATATGATATTCTTGACAACATTTCACAACTCTTCTGGCCTTCAGTCATTAGTTTCTAATGCATCAAATCTCCTCTTGAGCGAGCCTGTAAATTCAGGTGGTTGTTATGTTGTTATGTGCTATGGAATCGGTTCCGACTCATAGCGACCCTGTACAGGGTTTCTGAGGCTGTAAATCTTTATGGAAGCAGAAAGCCTCATCTTTCTCCAGCGGAACAGCTGGTAGTTTCGAATTGCTGGTGCTGAAGTTAGCAGCCTGATTCATAAACACTACATTACCTGAGTTCTTTAAGTTCATGTGTGCAGTCATCTTTTATGTTGTTTAAAGAAGTTATTTGCAATGAATAAGTTGTTACTTTTTAAAAATTCTATCATGTGATCTCCAGCATTATTTCTATCACTAAGGCCATATTTTCCAACTACCAATCCTTCCTCTTTATTTCCAACTTTCACATTCCAATCACCAGCCATCATCAATGCATTCTAACTGCAGAGTTGATCAATTTAAGACTGAAGAAGTTGAAATCTTCAGTTTCCATTAATGGTTGGTATTTAAGTTTGAAAAAATAGTGGTATTAACTGGTCTTCTATGGTTGTATGGATATTATATTTCAAGATAGATTTTGAAATGTTCTTTTGGAGGTTGAATGTGATGCCATTTATATGTTCAAGTGTCGTTCCCAGCATAATAAGCCATATGATTGTCTGATTTAAAATGACTAATGTCAGTACATTTTAACTCATTAATGCCTAGGATATACATCTTTATGTGTTCATTTTGTTTTTGATATCTTCCAATTTTCCTAGATTCATACACTCCAAGTTATGATTATTAATGGAGGTTTTCAAGTGTTTCCTCTCATTTAGTGTTGTACCTCTTTGGCAAATGAAGGTCCTCAAAGCTTTGCTCAATTTGTGTCATCAAAGTCGGCTCTACTTTGAGGAGGCAGCTCTTCCCAGTTATATTTTGAGTGTCCTCCAACCTGAGGGTTTCATCTTCCAGCATTGTATCTGACAATATTCTCCTCCTATTTGTAGTGCTTTCATCTTCTGGTAGTATATCTGACAGTGTTCCACTACTATTCATAAGATTTTTAGTGGCTAAAAATTCATGTGTAGTCTGCCTCTCCTTCTTCAGACTGGAAGTTCTGCTGAAACTTGTCCACCATGGATCTACTCTGTTGGTATTTAAAATACCAGTGGCATAGCTTCCAGCATCACAGCAACACATAACTGCCCCCCCCCACACACACAGTATGATAAACTGACAGATGATTGGTGGAGAGTCTCAGATAGGGCTCCATACATCTGGTAGAAGAGGACCAATTTGACTAAAACCACTGATATGGCACACCTCCCTCCAAGAAAAGGGGGCAAAAGAATAATATGAAGATAAATGACCAATTATAGACTATGTTCAGAACAAAGGTAACTTCCCTCAAGTCCTACCATTGTGCTGAGGAGGGGGATACAGCAGCTATGGGACTATAAAGCAAAGGAGGTGCCTTATAGCAGCTAAAACACTCTTAATGTGCACATCTCTTCTTTGGGATGCTTGTTGCCCATCCATCCCCCCAACCTCAGCTATTTTCCAATCTATTGTCTGCCATTACACCTGGGTTAAGATAATATTTTGGTAAATGTTTCTAGAAATTTTAGGTATGAATATGTGCACCTCCTCAGAATGATCCTCCTTGCCCCATTCCATGTAGGAAAATCATCCTATGTTTAAGCTTCATTTCTATAGCATTTGTAATCCTTAGAAGGCAAAGATTTGAAAAATCAATTATGATTTGACCAGTGCTCAGCCCACTATTTAGCTCCAAAGGATAGTCCTATGGTATTCAGGTTCATACCAATTCATCTCAATTCAATTCATATGAAAATTATTATAGTATTAATAACCATAATCTTTCATTGGAGCTTGCATAGCATTCATTGGGCAGCACTTACTTTTAGCTTTTTCTAGAGGCTCAATTCCACACCTGCCTTGGGAGGGTCATAACTTTGTCAAAACTCTATTATGGGTGGTGAAGCAATTTGGATGGTGCAGAAAATTTCAAGGGATACATAGCTACTGATATGAAAGTACAATTTGAAATTATAGAGGGATATTGGTGACAATATTATCTCTAATCTAAAAAATTTAAATCCTCAGTGGGCTATCCCTACACCCTCCTTCATTGGTATAGGGAGCTGCCTTGTAAATTTCCATTCTTATATCATTCAGTCATACACTTGAACAGTTCTAGCCCACATTTCACTTATTTATTATAATAATAAGTCTTAACATTTAATGTATTGTTTCATTATGTATATGCATAAATATGTGTGCATATATACAAGGGTGAGTATATATGAAAAGTAGTGGTATTAACTGGTCTTCTGTGGTTTTATGGATTATACTTATAGATAGATTTTTATTTTTATTTTTTTATCTTGAATGGGATGCTATTTCTCTTCAATTTGCCATTCCCAGCATAGTAAAAAATATGATTGCCTGATTTCAAATGACCAATACCAGTACATTTCAACTCACTAATACCTAGGATATGTATCTTTCTGTGTTCAATTTCATTTTTTATATCTTCCAATGTTCCTAAATTCATACTTCATACACTCTATGTTATGGTTATTAATGGATGTTTGCAGGTGTTTCCTCTCATTTTGTGTTGTGCCTCATCAGCAAATGAAGGTCTTGAAAGCTTTGCTCCATTTATATCATTAAGGTTGGCTCTACTTTGAGGAGGCAGTTAAAAAATGTTCCACACTCTGGCTGCAGAAGTTATTTTAATCAACTTTTAGAAAATACAAATACGTCATTTTTCAACATAATTTCCTTGCTTTTCAAGAATTTTGTATATTTGTCAACAAGATTTTTTGTTCCCTTATTAAAATATGTTTTAAGCTGAACTGTTAGACACAAATATACTGTTGTCTTCACTTCATCAAAGGTGAATCTTCATACTCAAAGGGCTTCTTTCAGGGTACCAAAGAGGTGAAAATCTGATGGATCAAGAACAGGACTATTTTTTTAAAAAAGAAGAGCAGGACTATAGTGAGGATGCTTTAACACCTTAAAATGTAGTTTTTTCAGAGTGTCACCAGTGTGGGCAGAGGTGTGCAGATGTGCATTGTCATACAAGATCACAATGTCCTTGGATAGCAGTCCTCTGCATTTAATCCAAAGTTTAGGCTTCACCTGTTCAATGAGCATCTCACTTTTGATTGTTGAACCTTTTTCGTGATGGTGTCCCAATATTGACCTTTGAGAATCCCAGAAAGTTGTAAGCATTAATTTGACTTTAGATCAAGTTTGCTTTTTGATTAAGTTGACTTTTGAACTTTATCTTGGCCAGCAATTGAGGATGTTTCTCAGAATCATAATGAAGAATCTTTGTCTCATAATGAATAATGACTTTTTCTTAAAAGAAACATTTACCTTCCTTCGAGTATCATTCCAAATTTTGTTTGCAGATGTCTATGTTCACACATGTACAGCAGTGAAGTGATCTTGACCAGAAAACTCTGATAAGACAGTGCAGCCAACAGAAGTGTTAATGTAACCAGAGTGCAGATAGTTTTTTACTCACCCTCATATATAGTTGAGACCTCATAAAAATTAAATACATCACACCAGTGTTCATTGCTTAAAATATCAGAAAGACGGAAACAGTCTAAGTGCCTATCAATAGAAGAATGGATAAACAAACTATACACACAATGAAATACTATGCAAACTTGAAGAATTGCAATGAATCTGTGAAACACCTCATAGCATGGATGAACTAGGAGGGTATGATATGAGAGAAATTAGTCAAGAACAAAGGGATAAATACTGTATGAGACCATTATTATTTTTTTTTTAATTTAAGAAAAGGTTTCATATTAAAAGAAATATTCTTAACACATATTAGAAACCACATGGGCGATATCACAATGGAACCAAAGGAAATCAAAAGATTTTTTGATTTACAAAGAATTTACAGAATACAAAGAAAAGTTGCACTACAACAAATTTGAAAACTTAGAAGAGATGGATACATTTTTAGAAAAACACGAACTACCTAAACGTACACAGAGTGAAGTAGAAAACTTGAACAGACCCATAACAAAAGAAGAAATTGATCAGGTTATCAAAAAATTTCCAACCAAAAGAAGTTCAGGCCCTGATGCCTTCACTGGAGAGTTCTACCAAACATTCATGGAAGAGCTGTCACCGATTTTACTCAAATTATTCCAGAAGGTAGAGGAGGATGCAAAACTTCTTAATACATTTTATGAAGCAAGCATAACAATCATACCTAAATGAGGGAAAGATGTCACTAAGAAAGAAAATTATAAAGCAATATCCCTCATGAACATAGATTCAAAAAATTCTCAACATAATCCTAGCCAACAGAATCCAGCAGCACATTAAAAAAATAATACATCATGATCAAGTGGGATTCATATCAGGGATGCAAGGATGGTTCAGTATTAGGAAAACAATCAAC